TTCCTGCAGACTCCCTGCCTCTGGCAGGGGCCTGGACTCAAAGATCTCACGAGGTCCCTTTGAATTCTCCAGGCTTTGGATTAGGAAATTTATTAAATTGTATTTAGTAAAAGATATTTGCACTAACTTTTTAGGTAATGCATACTTGTATGCTTTTGAACAGTGAGCACTGGAATGTTCCATCATTATGCACACTGTATACATTTTGGGAGAAGAACATTTGCTTAAGCTCAGAAGGAGAGCAACTGAACATGAGGAAGTTATAAAGAAATTTCTCAGTCAAGCAAGTGTTCCAGCTGAGCAAAAATGTATTGCAAAATGTTCCATAGCTGCTCAGCTGCCTAGAGAACAGAGGATGCATGTTGAGGTTGGAACATTGTGCGTAGAAAATGTGGAAACCCATCTGATAGCAAAACCAATAAATGCAATTGTGTACCTCATTGGATTAACTTTTTCATATTAAGGATGAAGTTAAGTACACAGACATAGAGCATAATTAGTCAAATTTTCTGATTTGTATTATGCAGAAGATTAGATGGTCATAGCTGTCCCTTGTAGCAAATCTATGAATGCAACCTGCAGCCTATCTGAGAAGATAATGTGGCAGATATATAAGCTTGGTTTGTGTATGGGTACACACATACCTATTTTTGTAAAGCACTTGGAAGATCTTTGCAGTGAAAAGCACTGTAATAGTACCAAAAATAGTATTAGAATTTAAGCTCTAGGCTTTAGCATTAACATGTATTCTTGACTATGAAAGTTATGCAGTTAAAGATTTATATTGATAGTATAAGAATGACTGTACTTGAGTAACTGTGATGTTTATTGGCCAATATGTAGTTACAGTGAAGGCTATCGATCATACAAAGCTTTCTATGGTTAGAGTGTGTAATACAGAGAGGGAAGGAGTATCTTTTAGGTACAGGGCAGGGCTGAAAATCAGGTTTGGAGTCTCTCTATATTTTCACATAGTTATCATGTGTACCTTGTTTTGTTTATGTGATATTATCCTGCCTTGTGCATAAATTAAATTTAAGGAGGTTGCCTGGGGAAAAACAACAGAAAACAAAACAACGACAAGATACGGTGCTGCCCAGAAAATAGCAGTACCCTCTATGAAAAGAGGAAGCCGTTAATTGGGGTAAGTCTCCAGACTGATTCCAGGTAGGGGGGTTACTAATAAAACAATGTAACACCCAGTCAATTATCCTCTGGAAAATACATTATTAACCCAATGTTGCATGTTGGGGAGTTGATATTGTCAGAAAGCTCCTAAATCCAGCATATCCTTTCTGACTCATTTATTGTCTGTCTGCTCTTTTTTCTATTATAAGTCATTTATAAGTCATTGGCAAACCAGGGCAACTTCTCTGCAAATTTTCCTTTATTTCTGTTTCTGTGTGTGCGGGCCAGGTGTGAGCCGGGCCCTTTTTTGTGCTCTGCGTGGGCTGTGGCCAGCAGCCCGGGCACACGGGGTTGGAGAGAACGGGCGACACGCTAGAATTAGGCACGGACTCGTAATGGTAGATTTAAAGATTGTTTACTTACACCGGAGATGGTTGCGGTGCAGGCTGGAAAACTTGCTTGAGTTGCAGTTACAAACAAAACAACACGAACAATCACGTGGAGTTTGCTAGGCTCCACGGAAACAGAGCTCCGGATGCCCTGGACAAGCGCGCCACCAAAATAGAAACCTCGTAGATACGTCTTAAAAAAAAATTATCGCTCGAAGACGGAAAGAGGTGGGCAATGGATCAGGTCGCCAAACTCCTCTGAATCTCACACAGGGTTTCTATTACCCTGCCGTGTACCCAGAGTCCCCACGAGATGGATGTGGAGTCCTCTTCGGCTTGGGCGGAAACCGCTCAAGCCTCTTATACGGCTAGCAGGCCAATCATTAGCCGCCACGTGGGAATAATTTAGAACTAGCCAATAGCGGAGAACAAATTTGCATGCGGGTGGAGGGAACTCCTTTGCACCGTGCATTTCTCTTGCAACTTGAGAAATGCACCCTGCAAATAAAGCTACAAATTGGCGGGAAATTCTCCCTTGCACCGGGGTTCTCCTCTGCAGCAGAAAACTCCACC